GGGTGGGGGGGGCCCGGGCCTCCCCGTGCCAGGGCAGAGGCTCTGCCGGGCCCCAGCCTCCCACCGTGGCTTGTAAATAAACATCTGAGAAAGCCCTTGTGCCCCGAGAGTTTCTAGAGCTAAAAGAGTCCAAGGCAGCGGGGGGTAAAACCCCGTGTCCCGCGCGCAGGCGAGGCCCAGACGGACGCGGCTCAGTAGAAACCATTGAAGTTTATTTGCAGTCACGATGCTTACACTGTATGCAGCAAACACCCTTACAAGTCAACCAGCAATCTGCTCACGCGAGAAAAGGACCCAACACACACAATCGCCAGAGGAAAGGACAAGGGAAAAAAGGAAAATGAAATAAAATAAAATTAAGAGGAGGTGGTGCCTGGGGAGAGAAACTGAAACCCTAAGGAGTGAGTGGCTGGGGTAGAGCTGAGCTAGAGAATGCACACGACTAGCAGCAACAATAGTGGAAAAAGTACAAGGCAAACGGCTTTCCCTCCCCGCTCCGCTTTCCTCCGGAAGGAAATTTTATATCCAAAAACATTGATTATGGTGACGTAGCAAAAGAACGGACTCGTTTTCGGGGGTGTTACGTACTTCATGCTAGGCAAACCTTGTTACTAAGAACCCTGCGCGGGGGCTCCTCCGCGGCGGCTCCGTGCGAGGACGTCGCCGCGGGCGCGCGGATTCCGCCCCGTTCCCCAGCTCGGGAGCAGCTGGAAGCGAGGCCAAGGGCGAGGAGAGAGCGGCTCCCGCAGCGCCGGGCGCCCAAGGGAGGGAGGCCGGGGCCCTGCGAGGAGCACAGGGACACGGGGACAGCGCCCACGGTCACACGGGGGGTAGGAGACACCCACGAGCAGCACGAATGAGACCACGCGGCATGGCTTAGAGTTCCTAATAACAAGGGCAAGACGGTAACAGGAAGTTGTGATTTCAAGGGGCTTAATAAGAAAAAATATACATTTGGAATTTTACAATGTTTGCTTTTTTTTTTTCCTTTTTTTTTTCTTTTTTTTTGCTTCTCTCTACACTTGTCACTAAATAAATCTCTGCACTTTCACACACCCACCCCTCGCCCAGTAAAGCTTCAGGCCTGCAGGACACGCTTTCCTCACTCGCATACGCAACCCTCACGCCAGCACTGGTGCACCAGGACTCTGTAAAAATTTCAATCACACTTTTTTTTTTTTTTTTTTTTTGTGTTTTGTTTCGTTTTTTCTTAAATCGAGTCAATATAAACCTTGTTCAAAATGTTATGAAAAAATGTACATGTTTTTACAAGGCAGGCTGCAGCAGAGCGCTGGCGTTCCACGCGGACATTCGGGTAGGGAGACGCTGGATTCGTGCCCCTGGCTTATGCCCTTCCACCCCCTCCCAGGGAAACAGCAGCACCCTGCCCTGCTGAGCTCAACCCTCCTGTTCCCTCCGCCCTCGGGACGGGGAGTTCGGTCAAAGCGAGCGCAATCCGGCCCTAGGGAAGAGCAGGGATTGGAAACGCCCTCTTTTCTTTCCATCGGAAACGGGAACCCCTCGGGGCCAGGCCAAAGAGTCGCTGCTCTGGACTCGCGGCGGGAGACGTCAGCTCATCATGTCGTTGCTGTTCACGCCGTAGCTGGAGTTTTTCATGGAGTCGTTCACCTCCCGCCGGAACGCCGACAGGTTTTGGGTGAACCTGAGGGAAAGGCAGAGCGGGGCGCGTCAGGGGCCTCGGGGTGGCCCTCGGGGTGGCCCTCGGCCCCTGGGCACTCACCTGTCCCTGTTCTTGGTGAGCAGGTTGCGCTCGATGCCCTCCATGAGGTTCTCGAAGCACAGGTGCATGGCCTGCTGCTTCTCCGGAGGCTGGCTGTTCACGATGCTGTTCCGCAGGTCCGAGAAGTACTGGTGGGGAGACAAGAAGGACGGGTTAATTCCACGAGCAAAGCCAGCTTGGCACTGGGTGGCGTGACAGCCCCTTCCGGATGGGACAGGGAAGGTGTCACAGCTCATCCCGGGGTTTCGAGCGCTCTTGGAAGCGAGTTTGTAGCCCCTCCAGCTGGCGTGGGGTGGTTACCTTCTCATTGAGCAGTATCAAGCCAAGCAGAGGTCGAGACATTGACCACTGGTTCCTGCAGTCCTCAAAGATGATGATATTCAGCACTGTGGACAGCATCTGGAAAAGGGAGGCGGAGGCTTAAAACCAGCCTCAAAACCAGCCCCTTGTGTGCTTCACCAAGGCCCAAGAGCTGCAGAGGATGCAGATCCCAGCAAGCTCCACGTATATTCCAAGGTGTTGGGAATAGGGGCAGGAAACAGACGGCAGGTGTGCTCCCAGCGTGGAAAACCTGCTCCAATCCCCCCGCAGAGGCCGTCGGAGCCCAGGCCGTGCTCTCCCTGCATGGGGCAGCAGGAGGCTGCTCCTGCATCGCTCCAGTGCGGCCACAGCCCTCTCGGGTCAGGGAGCCCACGGCTTCTGCTCTGCTCCGAGTGCGCCGGCACCACTGGATTGTTCCAGGGCTTCCAACACAGCCTCCATTCGGGCAGAACAGGAGCACGTGCTTTTTGGCAGAAGGGGTATTTCCTGGCTCCGTTTCTACAAACTGCCAGTGCAGTTCCTACCATTTTTTTAAAGGAAAAAAATTCAGTTTGTGCTACTTCCTTTTACTTCTGAAACGCGAGTGCTGTTCCTTGCACAGGGAAAAGCACTGCCCTGAAGTGCACGTCCAGATCAGAGCTACCACACCGTGAACGCGCACGGGAGATGCAGGATCAGCCAGAAAACGCTGTTCCCTCAGGAAAAGCCCGGCGCTCTCCAGCAGGGATCATGCACATCCCACATGATGTCATGCCGGAAGAATCCGGGGCTTCCCGGCAGTGTCCCATGCCCCGGCACAACAGGGCCCTGCTCCTCACCTGCTGAATCATCTCCGGGTGCTGCTGCATGATGTGCAGGAAGCGGTCGCTCTCCTGGGCCAGGGGGGTGCTCCTCTTCTTGGTGCTGCGGGACAGCTGCTTGAAGAGGTAGGTGACAATGTGGTCCAGGCAGGAGCAGCAGCCTGTGCAAACCATGGTGTCTGCGGGAACAGAGCGGGAGACGCTGGAGACCCGCGGCACGGCCGCTGCTCCGACGCACCCGGGAGGATTCCCGGGACAGCATCCATCGCACGCTCCCGTTCGGGGAGCCATCGACCCAGAGCACCAGTGAGTCCTCACTGACGTGCTCGTTATCTCCAATGTCTCAGCTTTAACTCTTAACAGACCCAACAACCACTCCACCTCCTCTGTAAGCCCTTCTATGGGTGCAGAAAACAGGAGACAAATACAGGCTCACACCAAGATTGATGACCACAGCCAGGACAACAGTGCACAGCT